TTTATCAATTTTATTAATCTTTTCAAATAACTAGTTTGTGTTTTCATTGATTTTCTTTACTAATTTTGATAATTCCTTTCTGGCTTTTCTCACTAGGAGAAAAAGAGGATGTTGGCTTTTTAAAAGGCTGTCTCTCTCCATTTTATTATAAAATCAGTTTTCTTGCTGGAGTCAAATATCACTCCTGCTGCATAACAATACTTTTAAGACTAATATTAAAAGCTAGCTTCATTTTACTTTGTAATATAAAGCTTTACTTTGGAATTAATATTCATAAGGAAGCTGCCCACAAATTGGATTCTTTTTAAGCAAAATGGGAAAACACATCTATCAAACAATTTTCAGTACAGAGTCTAGAGTTTTGATTTCATCAAAAAACCTCAGCCAATCAGGCTATCACTTCTGAAAGATGCCAGTTCCACAAGGCTGAGGGGATGTTGAAAGAAATCAATTTCATTGGTTTCTGCTCTAATTTTTACTATTTTTCTACTGCTTGCTTTGGATTTAATTTGCTCTTATCCTAATTTCCAAAGGTAGAAATTTCCCCTAACGTATGCATTCAATGCTATAAATTTCCCTCTAAGCACATCTTTCACTGTATTTCACAAATTTTGATGTTTTCGTTTTTATTTAGTTTGAAATATTTTAAAATTTCTCTTGAGAATTTTTTCTTTGATGCATGTGTTTAGATGTGTGTTGTTTAATCTCCAACTATTTGGGGTTTTTCCAGCTGCCTTTCTGGTATCAATTTCTAGTTTAATTTCATTGTGTCTAAGAGGAGACGTGTGACTTCTATTTTTTAAAATTTGTTTATATTTGTTTTATGGCCCACAATGTGGTCTATCTAGGTGAATATTTTATGTGAGCTTGAGAAGAATGTTGTTGGATGAAGCAGTCTGTAGATGCTCATTACATCCAGTTGATTGATGGTATTGTTGAGTTCACCTATGTCTTTACCGATTTTCTGTCTGCTGGATCTCTCCATTTCTGATAGTGTTGAAGTCTCTATCTACACCAGTGGATTCAAATATTTCTTCTTGCAGCTCTATCAGTTTTTTTCCTCACATATTTTGATGTTCTTGTTAGGTACGTACATATTAAAGATTGTTCCATCTTCTTAAAGAACTGAGCCCTTTCTCATTATGTAATGGCTCTCTTTATCCCGAATAACTTTCCTTGCTCTGAAGTCTGTCTGAAATTAATATAGTTACTCCCACTTTTTGATTGGTATTAGCATGGTATGTCTTTCTTCACTTATTCAGTATGTCTTTATATTTAAAGTGGGCTTTGTAGACGTGTTTGATTCACTCAGAAAATCTGCCTTTTGTGTATTTATACCAGATATTAAAATTATTTAGTTGGATTGCTATCTACCATATTTGTTACTGTTTTCTGTGTTGCCTTGTTCTTTGTTCTCATTTTTGTCTTCCAATCTTTTTGTGGTATTAAATTTTTTTCATTTTTCAAAGTTAACATTTAGTATTAGTTTCAGGTATTCAACATAGTGCTTAGACATTTATATAATTTATGATCCCAATTAGTTCCCTTGACACCATAGTTATTACAGTAGACTATATTCCCTATGCTGTGGTCAACATCCCTGTGACTGTTTTGTAACGGTTATTTTTTTACTTAATTCCTTTACCTTTTTCACCCAGCCCCTCCACCCCACCAGCAACCATCAGTTGGTTCTCTGTAACTGAGTTTGTTCGTTCTTTAAATTCCACATATAAGTGAAATCATAGGGTAATTGTCTTCCTCTTGGTTCACTTAGCATGTTGTCACAAATGGCAAGATTTAGATTTCATTCTTTTTTATTATCAATAGTCCATTGTATATATGTACCACTTCTTTATCCTATCATCTATTGATGGACACTTGACTCTTGTTTTCTTATCAGTTCAGCCACCCTTTGTCTTTTGATTGGAGCATTTAATCTACTTACATTTAAAATAATTGAGGGGTATGTAGTTATCGCCATTTTATTATTCATATTTTTAATTTTCTTTTTAAAGTCCCTTTAACATTTCGTCTAATACTGGTTTAGTGGTGAGGAACTCCTGTAGCTTTTTCCTGTCCGAGATGCCCTTTGTAGTTTTGAGCATTGTATATAATGCCATTTTCTCTCCTTTCTTAGCATATCAGTTATGCTTCTTTGAGTTTTTTAGTGTGCATCCTAGTTTGAAGTATAGTTACAATTAACCAAAGTCCACTTTCAAATAACATTATACTGCTTTACCAGTAGGGTGCATAGTTTAATAACAATGTAATTCTAATCTCATTGTCACCGCTTTATAATTGCTGCCATTCATTTCACTTACACATAAGCATATGCAAGTGTGCATTTTTGTAATATATCAGCAAACATAATTGAATACATTAAATAACACTTGCTATTATTTTTAACTATTAGGTCAGTTAAGAATGTTTTCATTTTACCTTTGCCTAATCCTTGATGTTCTTTATGTACATCTGAGCTGCCAATCTATATTCTTCTCCCTGAAGAGATTTAACATTTCTTGTAACACAAGTGTACTGGCAACGAATGCTATTTTTCTGAGAAAGTATTTCTTTCACTTTTGAAAGATAATTTCACAACTTATTTGGTTGGGTTTTTTTCCCTCTCAACACTAAATATTTCAGCCCCCTATCTTCTTGCTTTCATGGCTTTTGAAGTCAGATTTTAATTCTTAAATTTGCTCCTCTGTAGGTAAAGTGTTTTTCCTTTGGCTTCTTTCAGAATCTGATTATCTGTAATCTGAAAATGATATGCCTCTGCATTTACCCTGTTTGTTTTCTGCGATTCCTGGATCTGTGGTTTGGCATCTTTGCCTGTTTGGGCTGCTACCATAAACTGGGCAGCTTATAAACAAGACTTTTCTTATAGTTCTGGAGGCTGGTTAAGTACAGAACCAAGCAACACACTGGCAGATGCAGTGTCTGGTGAAGAGCCACTTCTTGGTCCAGTCATCTTTGTGTGCTCATGTGGTGGAAAGAACAAGGGAGCTCTGGGATCTCCTTTATACGGGTACTAATCTCATTCATGAGGGCCCCATTCTCATGACCTAAACACGTCCTAAAGCCCAACCTTGAAATACACCTCATTAGGGAGTAGGTTTCAACCTTTGGGGGGAACATTCAGTTACACTGACATTAACTTGGGGGAAATTGTCATTAGTTTCAAATCTTTTTTGTTCTCTTATCCTTTTGGTATTACATGCAAGTTATAGCTTCTGTAGTTGTCAGATATGCTGTTTTTTTCTTTGTTTTGGCAGTTTCTATTAATTCAAGCTCAGATTCTTCCCAGTTATGCTCATGAAAAGCATTCTTTTTTGTTCTAGTATTTGTCACTAGCATTTTTGTTTACTTTTCTCTGCCTACATTGCCCACCTGTTCCTGCATGTATTTCACCTATTACAGCCCTTAGCATATATTACAATTTAATTTCCCAGTTTTAACTTCAACATGTCTGGTTCTAACGCTTAACGTCTCTACAAACTTATTTTCGCACTTTATCTAATGCCATTCTCTCCCATGGTTCTGACATTGTCCATTTAAATTCATCTGGCAGCAGTTAACCCAAGGGACCACAAAGCTTTTCATACAACCAGACCACTGCCACACTACAGGCACATAAACAGGAGTCTCACCAGCCTAGAGCCCATTTCAATCTGTTAAGTTCCAAATTCTTAAAGTCTTCTGCCTATTAGCACCCTCTTAGTGGCAATTCCTAGTCAAAATTTTCCCAAATCCCAAAGTTAGAAAATCCAACTGATACCTTTAAAAAATAAACTTACTGACAGCCTAATGGTGGCTTACATACATTTAATTACAAGCCAACACCTCTAATGATAGCACCTTTTATGTCTGGTTGCTTTTCCAAAGGCATGCTTACAGTCTTTGGCCAACAGAGGACTAGGAAGTCATTACTGTAGCAAGAGGTGGGCCTTTGGCTAGGGGAACTCAGTGAGGGCTGTGCCAGATGCCCACTGTTCCCACCCCCACTGCCTTGGTACTCTAGCCTACCCTTTTCCCTAACAGGACACCTATAAGCACTTCCTTCACACACACCCCATCTTACTAAACTAGGCTTCTCAGCCTTAATCTATTATTCTTTATAATCCAAACCCTTCTGGACCACATTCTAGAGCTCAACTTGTATAATCATGTGAGGGGCCAATTCTTATTCCAAAACTGGTTGAGAACAGATTTCAAATCTGGCAGGAACACAGTTCCAGATGTTTACTAGAAACTAACATGGACGGGTAGAATTCTATGTATATATGAGCTACCAAAAAAGTATGAGAACCACACGTTTGAGACACTGTCTTATTTGACAAAATAAGGCCTGCAAATATTGTCTGTGCCACATTACCAGTATAGTATCATAATCTGGTTACTCAAATTAGAGGCAAAATGGCATCACAGAGTGTAAACCGTGGATTGAGTACCAAACTGCCCAGGTTCTGATCCTGACATCCTCCCTTTAATAGCTACAGACTAAATGAATATACTTTACAAAGTACCCTGGACATATTAAATGATATCCAAGTACAGGCACACTTTTATTGTGTTTCGCAGATACTGTGTTCTTACCAATAATGAGGCAAGACCCAACACCAGCAAAAAGATAATGGACTTGAAGGTTCAGATGATAGTTAGCCTTTCTTAGCAATAAAGTATTTTAAAATTAATGTATGTATACTTTTAAGACAATGCTACTGAACATTTTATAACACTATAGTGTAAAACTAATTTGTTTGTACTAGGAAATCGAAAAAATTCATGAGGCTTAATACAATGCCATCCCCAAGTGGAGATTATCACTCCAATACCTAGCTACCCACTCAGTAAGTTTTCCAGGAATATATGATTTTAAAAACCAGTACAAACACATCTCAGCCCAAGGGATACTGGATGAGGACTAAAAACTATAAATGAATTCTAATTATAAATAACAAGGTTAAAATAAAATCTTTGTAAACTGAGTTGTGCCAGCCTTTTACTCTTTTCATTTGCATTTATTTAACACAGTTCTCAAAACATTTGAGTGAAATTGGGCCTCCTCTGGTAAGCAAAGGACCTGAAAATAATATTTAAAAAATGAACAGGCAGTCTTCAGCTCATCTACAACACTGTAGTGTTCCCTTCTCTTTTCCCAAACTGAAGCACCCAGTTTTTTTCCATAGTATAAAAGCTAGAACGAGAGTATATTTGTGGTGGAATGTATTGTCACTTGCTGATAACCAGTTGAAATACCATTATCCTCTTATAACAGCTTTAAGAAATGGCCTTTTAAAGGCATACATTATTATAACTCTTTTCTTACTCTCTGCTATATATAATACATATTACATAAAGGCTGACAAATCCACATGTACATAAGCATTAAGTATTTGCTGTATTGAAAGATCTTTAGTTCTATTACTAGCAGTACTGAGTTACAGAGCATAATTTTTAACACTTAGTTGCAGGTATATCAAGTACGGTATGTTTCATGGACTGGAAGAAAACGGGCATTTTCGTCTTGAAATTTACTACTGACAACCTAATCTGAACAGTTCTGCTAAGCACTGATGTTAGAAAGAAAAGTAAAAATCAAACTTTATTGTTGCTTTTTGTCATTTGGTAGCATTTTACACACAGGCTTCGATCTTCAGAATACCCTGGATTCAGTAGAAAAACCTTTTAAAGGAAGTTTTGTACAATAGAAACTTCTCAGCAGTCAAAATTTAGACTGTAAAAAAATACATGCAAAACATACTTTTCTGAAAACACTTAACTTTGAACAAAGCACCGAACTACACAAATGCAGAATGAGAACAGCATTTCAACTCCACCAAAAGTAGTCATCATAAAAGGTGTAAAAGTCACCTAACTTCACTAGGCACTGTTCACTTTTTAAACAGGAGACAATAAAAAATATTGTCCACAAACAATATCCCAACTCTAGGGTAGGTTTCAGAAAGTCTTCAACTTCATGCTTTAATAGCGACCTAGAAAGAAAATAAATGTGCACATCAATATCAAGAGAACAGATTATCAAGTATACTTTAATGTTGAGAATTTTAGACTGTTCTGCCATTAGGAAATTCCTATGTACCACATTCTCTTCTGTTAGAATAGAAGACAATCACAAGAGTTACACTGGAAATGAGAATCAATATAAAATAGACAGCTGGGAAGTATAACTCAATCTGAGAGCTAAGGTTTTAAATAATTCAGATGTTCCCAATTTGCACAAAAATCACAAGGACTCCTTAAAAAGAAAGGCTATAAACGGTGACAGAATATATACTCTACTATTTTAATTAGCAAAAGAATAAGATTCTGAGGGTTGTTTTCATATACTTTCTGGAACCCTACACATAAAACTAGAAGACGGAGAACATATAGATAAAACTAGTCAAATCAACCGTTTCTCTCTGCTGTGTGTGGTTTGGTAAGTCAGGGTAAGTCATGCTCTTACAACATATAAACTAAATCACATCAAGACAAAAAACTTACGAGGTGAGTATGATCGCGATCTGGAACGTGATCTATATCCTCCACGACTATAGTAAGGAGAAGGTGACCGCCTTCTGTAAACAAATGTTAAAACCGTCTAAGACTCCACAGATCACTTTTCAGACTAAATGACATGAAGATTAAACACAACCCCTCCCTTACAGTTTCTAAAACTAAAAGGCCCTCAGACCTTCAAAAATTTTGCATTAGTCATGGATTTCAAGGTCTGTTTTTAGTCCCGAGAATGAAGCACGGTATTGGGCGCAGTACTATATAATCAAACTATCAGGGAGAGATTGAATACTCCTTGCTATATTAATCCATCTATAATCCAACCCATTTTAAATTCTACTCATTGGTGACAAAGAAATTAACTATGAGAGGTGAACACAGTGTAAATATATATATATGCCTCACTGTTAAAGTGTACAGCTGAAACTTATTGGATTTCGTTAACCAATGTCACCATAAAAATAAATTGAAAATATAACTTTCCTATAGGGAGGAGAAATTCTATTAAAATTAAAAAAAAAAAAAAAATTCTTTCCACTTCTAACCACACCCACATGGACTAACACCCAAAACAAATATCACTAATTCATCAAAATAGTTTCATTTTGTGTTAGGACTCAGTATTCACTTGCTTATTCTGAGATGCTTATAAAAAGCTAACAAAATAAGTGTACAAGAGAATAGCTATCAGGAATAAAGACTAAAAATATTACAGGTCCTTACCAATGACATTTATACCACTATTACCTCATTAAAGTACAAAACAGTACCACTGACTATATCTTGTAAAAGCCCAATTAATTTCAGCTAACACGCAAAGCCATGGACACATGTCATTTGGCTTTAGTTACAGCTATTTTAATGAACTTCATGTAATTCAACTTTGTGCAATGCCACACTTATAATTTAACTACCAAATACTAGTGTCTTCATGTGAGCCATTCTGTTGTAGAATGTAGACTTCAAATCCTTTCCTGACATACCTGTAAATCTGATCCCTGTCTTGGGCAGCTCTCCATCCTCCTCCTCCTCCACCTCCTCCTCTGTGAAGGCAGAAAATCATTCAATTTTATATCTTTGAAAGAATATATAATTCATTGATTCGTGCAGTAAAATTAAAATTCTAAGAAAAGGTAGTTTCTTATAAGTTAACTGATTAAGAACTATTTATGCCACCCTCTTTTTTACAAATTGGCATAGAGGTCTCTCTGGTGGCTAAGACAAGTAGCATTAGAACAAAGAACATTCCTAAGAATACTCAAGTTAATTAAAATGAAAATCGAATCTAAGATCTTAATCTTCTCAGGCTCCACTAATCCCTTAAGTGCCACTCAATGCAAAAGTGCTATAAAGGGCAAAGGGGGAGACTTACTGTCAGCAATAAAATGCTGGATAATAAATGTCTCAAGCATGCTTAAGGACCCACTTCCATAGACAGGAATATAGCAACTATTATCAACTTCTTATAACATTACCAAATAGTGTGCAAGAAATAAAGAGACATCCACACCACAATACTGCACCAAAATAAGGAATCATAGCTTACTAGTGTGGTCAATACTTATTACACAATTTACATTTGATAAGGTAGGGTCTCTGCCTGCTAAAACAAAGGAAACATATTTCACTTTTATCTTTGAAGTATTAATTATTTTAACGGACTCTTTCAAGAATTGCTTTTCTCTGCCTTCTAATAATGCATGATACAATATACCAAAAAAACTGCTTTTATACAGCAATAACTTTCAAAATACAGCTTATTTTGCTTTAAAAAAGGAGGAGAAAAAACTGAAGTATGGTCTATAATGGTTTCTATTGTTATGATTAAACCTAAGGATTTTGATTGGTTTACCAAATGACAGTCTATTTATGACTTTGTTTTTAGTAATGGCTTTTCCCTTTACAAAATATAGTAATTCTCCATTGTTGAAAATGTCAAATCCTAGGTGAGTTGCACTTCAAAATGGGGAAAGGGTTAAAGGCTAAAACAGGTATAGTGCTATTGCTTTAAATTATGTTGCAACTGAAATTCAGTTGATGCTTCCTTCAAATTTTTAGTATCTTAAAACTTATGGTTAACTTACCTGTATGATCTGCTATAGTAGTCCCGATCATCATAGCCTCGATCATATCCTCTGTCATAGTAATCACGACGCCGTGAGCTGCCACTATGAATAATAATATATCTTCATAAAGTGTCAAGTGGCCTTTCCCTATCATCTTACTAGTAGACGTAACTTTTGCTGCTAAAAAACTGTTCAGGTTTTCAGCAGCAGCAGGGGAACACCATGCTCATTTGGATCTTAAGAGTAACACAACCCAAACAGCCAAACTCTATGGACATGACTGGGCAATACTCAAGCGTAACTTCTTTATTTCCTCTTGGGCAAAAAATGTGGACACCAACAAACAACTCCCTAATTCATAAGCAAGCCTCTTTTGATAATGCATCTATCAGAAATGGCTTGCCTATGAATTAACTGGAATGAATATTACTTCCATTTGAACTGATGGTGGATAAACTGCCATTTTTCCTTCCCTTTTAACAATGCACATACATACTTTAAAAAATCTTTTGGTTTAGGATACACACATTCTACTAATTTTCCTTCAATTAGAATTTCCTTCAATTCTACTAATTTTCCTATAAGTCAATTTGCCAATCTCAATTTTACACAGGGAAATAGAAAAACCATATGGAGAATGCAGTTTCAAGAATGAGAAAATGTTTGGCCTACTAAAAAGACATAGCAATTATTCTATGTTACAATTCTTTAAATAAATGTTATAGTGTTATAGTTAAATTTAAAAACAAATTCAATTTAGAGCTTTCTCTCAATATACACACTGGTAAGAATGATGACAAAGAGAGAAGTATACTACCTGGTCAGTGCAAATTTGAAGTCTGTGTTTTCTACTCTGCTTAAGGAACAAAAACTAAAAAATGCACCCGAGTATGATTTATACAAACTTGATTTTACCTGTCATGGCTAAGTTTCCATTATGAAAAAAAAAAAAAAAAAAAAAAAAGGGTCTAATCAGGAACATTTAATTACTCAGCAAAGCCAAATATATGGCATTTATAATAAAGTGGGATAGGACTTGTGTTGTGTCCAAAAAAAGTTTCCATTGAATATTCTATAAAAGTTTTAGCCAGTTAAGAGTAACAGGAAAATTGATTTACTCTGTGGCAAAATTAGGTGAAATGCCAAAGATTTCCCCCCAATCACCTGTATTTCTTGGAGAAAGTGAACAAAATGAACTGTCATTTTTTTACCTTGAAAATAAACTTACTAGGTAGGTCTCCCCATGTAAATTCCTGGTGTTGGAGTATGTGGTCTTTTTGTTATAGAGAAATCAACTCTGATTCTACGTCCATCAAGCTCCATTCCATTGGCACGTTCTTTTGCCTTTGAAAGATATTTTAAGTTGTTATATAATCCTGAATAAAGCCACAAACTACCCAATAGCTATAAAGTTCGAATGGATGTTTCTGTTTAGATGCATTAAATTCTTTGGCCAGAACATCATGGCCTTCAATTTATTAATAGGTTCTTTTCCGTATTAAATTTTCACTTAAGTTTACCAAAAAAAAAAAAAAAAAAAAAAAAAAAAAAAAAAAAAAAAAAAGTCAAAAAGGCCAATTTAACCCATGAAATACTTTTAGTATCATTATGGTACCTAACTACAAATTTACAGTGCTTCTACCTCTAAAGAAGTGTGCATTTGGTAAACTATGACCAAAGAGCTAAAAATTTAAATAGCTAGGAAAAAATTTTCATGATAAATGAAAATTACACAAAATTCAAATTTTGGAGACCACAAATAATATGTATTGGGACACAGCCTCACTAAGTACTTTACATATTGTCTGTGGCTGCTTTTGCATTACAATGGCAGAGCTGAAAAGCTGTGGCTGATACCCTATGGCTCACAAGGCCCCAAATATTTCCTGTCTAATTTTTTATAGAAAAGTTCAAAGATCCTACTATGGAAGCAAAGGACTAGAATTAAAACAATTACATATTAAAAAAAAAAAAAAAAGGAGACAGCTACATACAGTTCCTTTGTCTAGAATATAAACTAACTGAAACATTATGAACATCAAAGCGAAAAACAAAAAACTTATTCCCAAGATTTGGCAGTTTGTTCACAATTCACTTAAAGAAACACCTCTTCTAACACCTAAGAAGAATTTAAATTTCTAATTCCAATTATGCTATTTTCTAGTTTTAAAATTTAAGCTCTGGAAAACAGTTTCTGGCACTACTGATTCAGAGATACAAAATGTTATTCTTCAGAAAGCTAACTGTGGTCTTGTAGCAAAATAATTATGGAAATCAGGCCTTTACTGTTAGTAACCTTAGGCAAACCCTATTTATATCTTTGGGCATTATTTATTATTAAAATGAAGCTCAATGACATTTTAAAGCATCCCCTCAAACCTCTTATACATTAGTCATCTTTTAAAATTACTTGGTTTAGCTTCTGATTATTCCTTTAGATCAGGTTACTTTTAACAGTTTTCAAAAGTTTATATATTTTCATGAATATACAATGTTATCTAGAGCTGAATTCCTATTCAACACTGATCTCAGTTTGTCATTAAGCATTTTCCAAGCTTTACTTATACTTCCCTTCAGCTATTATCCTTATGCATTTAAAGTCCAAAACTTAAGGATGTGGCCCAGATTCATGCACTATACTTTTACTTTAGTCCATATACTAAAATTTTACTTCCTCCACTTTGCCTCAAGTCAATTAACATCTCAATAGGAAATCACTTTTGCCAATATACACGCAAAAACAGATGTTTTCCTGAGTCACAGTTTTATCATTTTAAAAGCTTTTCTCTGTTCTAGAAAATTGTTCGATGTAAACAGATTAAATATTCTAAATAAGACTATTAACAGCCTCATATTTTAGATATAAATCACATCTGAACACTCACGTATGAAGTTATAGGTCAGGATTTATTTCAAAATGTAGTGATAATGGGTGACTGAGTTGGAATATAGAAAGCCACAGGTTTTTAAGTACTGAAGTGGGGATGGGTGATGGTGGGGGTGGTGGTGATATTGCCCTAAGCCATACTTTTGCTATTCTTTATATATTTGAAAATTTCCATAATAAAAGACTGGAAAAAGTTCAAAGCATTGGCTTTCATTTGTTCCCAGAAGAATGCATTTCCTTTAACCCAAACTATAGTTACATACCCTATTTACAATATAAAAACAATAACTGTCCTTACACAAGTACTTTGTCATTAATTAGTACTTGAGAGTTCACAACATGACTGGTATTTTATCAGGTACAGGTAGGCTTTTACTTACTTCCTTGGCATCATCTACATTTTCAAAATATACAAAGGCAAATCCTCTTGAACGTCTAGACTGCTGGTCATATACAATAGATACATCAGCAATGGGGCCATATTTAGAAAACACTTCTCTTAGATCTCTTTCTGTAGTGTACAAGCTCAAGCCAAATACACCGAGACAACAGTTGGGATCAGGATTGGCCTAGAAATAGAAAAATTAAAACTTTAAAAAGTTCTCATAAAATCAGTTTAAAAAAAGGGAACCACACACAAAGTAGCCAAAAATATAACAATAAAAGTAGACAATAAACAGACTAAACACTTAAGGTTAATGTTACAGCAAGTGCTGCAGACATGCTTAAGAATGGGCTGGGATTACAAAAGGAAATGATGTCAACCTTAGGATTAAGTGGAGGGAAATAGGGGAACATACTATTGAAAAACAAATTGGCTTTTTGGGAGATTGGAAGAAAGTTTGCCCAAATGATTCACCTTCTAGGAATTTATTCTAAGAAATGTCCACACATTAATAATACGTGCACATAACAATAATCAGAGTATTGTCTCTCTCTACAAGCCTGAGAAATGATAATGCTCAATTACGATATACCACCCCATACAATGAAATGCTCTGAACTGCCCAAGAAACATATAATGAAGCCAAAGATGTGCACTAAACTAAATCGTTTTAGTGAAAGTTATTAAGCAGCTTGAATTCATCATAAAAAATTAGCCACACGTTGCTGACATTCCAGTTGCCACAATGTAGTACTGTTTTCATTTATTTTACATTCATTTACTACGAATTTATTCCTCTCAGAAACAAACATACACACCCTACAAAACTTGGATTATACAATGCAATCACAATATAAACACACTGAATACCACCTCATTTGGAACCTCTCATGGAAGAAAAGCCTTAATACCTGAAACTTGTTCACGATTGAGAAAATCAGGAGTAATTATGTAAAACGTTTATTAAAATAAATCCAGAAAGATGGAATAACATTAGTATGAAACATATACAGATGTTACATAATCTTAACAGTAATGCATAAGGGATTTTTTAAACTTAATGGCTGAGTTATACCAATGTGTCAGTTTCACTTAAATGTGACTGATAGCTCAGATGCAGACCATTACATGAGATAACTTAAAAAAAAAAACAAAAACAAAAACACGAGACCACCTCAAAACACTAAAAAATCTCAAAAGGTAACTCATGTATATACACTACTAATGTTCCGCTGTCAATTAAAATCAGCTCTAATGTAAAACAAAAATTAGAGATAGGACTGTATTAATAAAGTGGCTTTAGACAGACCACTGCTTCAACGACAGAGTACTTTTCATCTTACCCGATTCCCAACATGACGCCTTCGAGTAGACATGGGAGAATGACTGTGGCTATGACGTCTTCGATAATCCCGACTGTAAGACCTGCTACGAGATCGTCTATGGGAGCGAGACCGAGATCGTGACCTTGTATAATGCCTTCGAGAACTTCTTCTGGATCTAGACCTGCAAAACAAAGGATTCAAGTTTATGACTAAATCGCTGACAAGATGTAGCTTTCAATTCTTTTCATACTTTCCTAAAGTTAAACTCCAGAAGACGGAACACAACCTAGGCATATGCTAAAATGGTACCAATTAAGTGGAATCAATAGCTTTCTTCTGTATCAAGTCATTGCAACTCTGCTAGGAATAGTTCCAAAACCACTACTAGCTCTTTTCCAACATTTCTTAAAATGAAGAAATACTCAATATTTTTTGAAAATTATAAACATCAGCATTTCATACTCGCTTGATTTGTGACTATTTCCCCCCATCAGAATATCATACTCTACTTTTCTGCTTCTCCCATTATGCCCACCATTCACTTAAGATAAAATCACCACCACAGTAGTTTCCTCCAGTAGTGTTTTGAAATCAACCAGTTGCTCTTAACTAGAGTGATCATATGAATTACCATCTAAACAAGGCAGGACACGTTGTAGGAGAAAAGGGGTGCTGTTAAATTATGCCTGACAACAGGCATAAACTGGGGCTGTCCTAGGCAAACCAGGACATATAGCCCACTCATGACCAACATGAAAAAGCGCGCTGTATTTTTGTTTTATACATACATGCATATAATACTAGACTACACCTACGTAACAATTGCAGTTACTGAAAGCCAATGTTCTGCAATATATTTGCCATACTAATAAGCAGTTTACTTAAACTCATAGTCAATCCTCACAATTCTGAAGAATTGGTATTATTAACCTGCCTTTATAGATAAGAAAGCTAAGGTGGAAAAAGGTTAAGTAATCTAATCTGCCCAAGCCAGAAAAAAATAGAGCTAAGATTTCAAGCCTAACTCAAAAAGCCCAGGCTCTTAACAACTTAGTCTTCAGTCTCCCAGAACTTAAAATTGAAGTTCACTTCTAGTACCAATATTAAATTAGGCCAACAAATGATCTAACCCTCTCTATCTTCCTAGTTACAAAACACACACCAATTTCAAAGCTAAGAGTAACAGAAGAAAATCCCAAGACAGTCTTTCTTACCTAGATTCAGATCTGGACCTGGACTTTGATCTGGAACGCCTGGAATCTTCCTTGGAGCGAGACCTTGCAGGGGTATGCCTTGCGGATTTCCCAGATCCATGAGCACTTCCACTTCTGGAAGCAGAACGGGATTCCTACACGTAGATGTCAAAAGTTTAATTTGTATACTTTCTGGGCAACTTTAATAACAAATAAGCTGCTGTGAGATAAATGGTGAGGGAAAGCAATCCCCTTCCAAGATAAGAAAACATAGGTAAGGGCAGGAACTGAATATACCTGGTATAATAATTACATTGCTCCAATTGACGTAAGTCAATTAACTTGAACTTCCACCTTTTTTGGAGCAGTGTTAAGAGTTAACTGACCCCACTCTCTTCAGAAAGGGGTGTCAAAGCCAAGCAGTTGAGGGACTGTCCAAGAATTGTTTTGGGAATATTACTCCATAAAGACTAGGGTGAGAAAGAACCTTAATAACTATGACACCTATACTTCATACCTACTTCAATCAAGTTGCCATCAATAAACAAAACCCTATGAAATTAATGAAACTTACTTTTAAAATGCTTTTGATTTTTAAGACCTCAACTTTTTAAATTATACTTATTATTCAGTGGGGAAAGAGACAAGAACGATCTGTTCAAGTCCTAGAGAAAGGTAAAAACCTAGTGGAAAGCAAGGACCAGCTTGAAGGATACTAGATCCTGTTCCATCTAACCATGGTGAGAGGCCCCTAAAAAAAACAAGGCAACCAGATGGAGCCGCAGCAGAAAGGCCGTGAACTGTGCAGAGGTAAGAGTAGAGAAGGTGCCAGAGAGCTGCAGCTTCCTCAGTTAAATGGAGATGAGCCAGAGCAAACTGATGGGGAACTGAGATTAAGCCAAGTTATCTAAGGGCTAGAGTAAAACCAGAGCAGATTAAATTAAGGGCTCCTAATTTAGGCTCAAAAAAGGGAGGGTGTTGAGGAACTATACGCAAAAACCAAAGTCTAGGTATAGTATATACTATATACCCATAAGCTTTCCCAATCAAAACTAGGACTAGTTGGTAGAAAAGTGGCACAAAAAGGAAAATCTCTAGCAACGAATGGGTAAACAAGACACCTAATTCACTAATGAGCCAAATGTCATTTTATCTAAACAAAAGGTGCATATGTGTAAGTAATGGAACCAGAAAAATGGTCGGCCAATGCACCAAAATCAGTCTGACAGCTAACTAAAGTATCAAGGCAAATTAAAAGGTATAAAATCTAGTGAGTCTTTCAGCCCAAGATAGAGCAAAAAATGGCCAGACTCAAAAGGAACCAACATTGTAGTAAGTCACTGCAGGAGTAAAGAATAAACATTAAAGGTACTAGATAAAAGTTACCATAAAGAAATCTCCCAGTGTGGTAGATCTTTAGGATATTCTGGCCATTCTTAAAAGGATAGAAGATACAGGATTAGTTTAAATTACAGCCCAAAACATTTTAGAGTATGTTTTGTGAATATGTTCTGTGATTTACAACATAATGGAAAAAATTCAGAAGATCCTTTCTATGATGCCCAGGGGAAAAAATTATTTACAACACAAAATAGACAAATTAAAATCTGAAGATTAAAACACGGAAGAAAAGAGTTATTTAAGCCAATAAAAATGAGTTCAGGTGTCCAGGCCCAAAACAACTTTAGAAACTTTCCAACAAGATATCAACGTCATGGGAGCATTTGAGATCTTGTCCCCCACGCATGTGTTATCAGTTTGGCTCAAATAAACTTAAAAAAAAAAAAACAAAAAAACAATTTCAAGGTCACTAGAAAACATGGTGTGATGTGACATGAAATATGACACTTTCCACTACTTCCCTCCATGGGTAACTGTAAAGAGTAGAAGAAAAAGATGGTACCCTTGATTAGGAGTGACAAGGGCTGCCAAGGAATGGTTAAAAGATGTACTATGTCTTTGGGGACCAGAGTTAACAATACCTTGGCTTTCTCTGGCAAATATTCTGAATACTGAGACATTTAAAAGTACAGTTCACCTCTCTTCTCTCCTTGGACAAAGTAGTTCTCAAAAAATGAGGGTAGTAATATGGGCCCAAGTTACTAAATGTTTTCTTCCACTGCTCAAAAGATTATTTCATGTAATGATTATAACCTTTAATGCAAACCTAAGAAAATTTGCTCTGGAAGAAAGAGTAGAATATAGGTGCCTCACAGTAACAGTTAAAAGATTACCAACAAAGTTACTGCAGTTAACAGAAACCAGTCAGCCTAGGGATCTGAGTATAAAGAAAAGGATAGAAAGTGAAGATTCCCTTTCTTTAAGCCTCAGGTTTCATCAAACACAACAGCCTTATTCCAATCTGCGCACCAGGAAAAAAGATAGTACTTCTAAGCCTTAAGGAGATTTGATTTCTCCTGTGAAATTCTAACAGATCAAGGGTCAAAAGTACAGTTGCTGTGAAATTAAAGCCTTTCACTCAGCCTCTAAAATTAACTGGCTATATGCAGGCGTCTTGTGAACACAATCATTTCTTAGACCAGGAATAGGGGAAACACCAGAATATAAAGATTTTCCCTTCGTATACTGACACTTGATTAGGCTAACACCTAAACAATGCCTCCACCTACTCTTTTTTGGTCAGGGATACTCTTAAAGACATTAAAACCCCTTTGTAGTTATGTTGGCCATTAGCTGGTTTGGAAATACATGCACTATATATCCAAGAAAATTTAGCCCGTTGAGAAGAAATGAGACCTAAAAATTATTAGCCAAACCTAGAAGCTTATCAGTAACTTTAAACCTTGAGCCACAGGCAAATCTGTAAACCAGATGGGAAAAGCCCCCTACACACAAGGAAAAATTCAAAGTCCACTTCTCAGGGCTGATAAAATTGAGTGTCAACATATTAAAACCCTACCAAAGCAGCACTACTTTAGGCATCAATACCTCAAGAAAAAGAATCATGATTTAAGATCAGCACTTAAATTAAAGACAAAAATTCTGCTAAAACTGCTCAAGGAATTAAGTTCCTCTAGGTTGGATCTTAAGTCATATACCAATAATATACAACCTACAGGAAACACACCAGGAAAAAACTCGGCCTTCCAACAAGATACCTTTATCCCCATCAACTCCCTATTCTGAGAATGGCTGTATCTTAGAAAAAATTTTGAAAGATTATCACTAGGCTTCTACTGTATTATTTAAAAACTTGGATACAGTGAATTAGCTTTAGAACTGTAGCTCTTAAAAGTATGCAGCAAACCTACACAGCATTTAAAAATGCAAGTCCCCAAAATGAAGCTGGTTTTAGTAGCTCTAGAATTGGATATCTCCATTTCTTAAAAGCACCATACATGTTTATGATGCTAATTTAGTCTTAGTTTATCATGTTTTATGCATCCTATCTATCTGATCTTTCTTGGCAAAGGCATCTTTCTGAAACTTTGTCATCTCCGCTCCACCTGCCCATGACATTAATCAGCTCTGCTGGGGCATGTACCTTACTGCCCAGGACAAGAGGCCTGTCCCCTCCTTACTTCTCTAATGGTGGGGAGAGGACTGGGTGGGAATGGTCTCAGAGATGCTTTGGCCAAGGGGACTACACACCCAAATGGATGCAGATGGTCTAATAGCATCAATGTTTACTTTTGCCTCATACCTATCGACCATAAGTCATATAATCAAATCTCAAACTGCTTTCTTCCCTTTTGTGGGCTAATAGGTCTTCTCTCTTTGGACTCCAAGGACTTTTCAGGTCTCCTAATAAAAAAATTCGTGGGGTTGAACATCAAAATCCACTCACATTTTTACCCCAGCTTGTGCCTAATCTGCTGATTCAAAATGAATAAATATCATTACTAATTTAATATTACTAGTTAATACATGGCAAGAAATTTTACAAAGCAGTAATTAGGGCAAAGACTAGAAAACTGTCTCCTATAAATAATTTTCTTCTGCTCACAAGACAGATTATGATGTTAATTTCATACTGACAATAGGCCCCTATTGACAATAGCCTCAGAAAATGGATCCTTCTAGAAATGACATTTAAGCCATTTTTTCCATGAGCTATAACTTTCAGAGGAAAGTTTAGGTTGTTTTCATTTCAGTAATATAACCTTGGCTTTCCCAAAATAGTAGAAGACGGCTGTTCGTTGGCTACCACTGAGTATTACTTTGACATGGGTATCTACTGTCCCATCTAACTGAAGGTAAGTAACATCATTCATTATACCAATCATCTGACTTTTTCTATTCAGCTAAAACAAAACACACAAAAAGGGAAACAGAACTTTTGGATTTATTCTCCCAGTAAGTTAGGTAGGAGTGGGAAACCAGAATAAAACTACTTTATGATCTTTCACATCGTTATAATAGCTGAGTGTTAACAGCAGAAAATGAGAAAAAGAAATAAAACTGACTTCTGAATAAAGCACATGCTACCATTGCCACTTTAAGTTAGACATCCTATTCACTTGTGAGACCCACCTTATTCTAAAAGGGAAGCCACTATATTTTTAGCAGTAACCCTGTCATTCAGCTGGAATAAGCATTAAACAGAAAAGAATTAAGAATCACCCTTGTGAATTTAGCACACACATGCATCTTAAAGTTAGGGCCTAAGTGGTCAAAGCTTTCCACTATTGCCATCTGGAAAAAATGTTTTTATAAATGCCAAAATAACTATCCTGGTTAATACTTTCCTTGGATTGGGGGGTGGAAGGGTTGGTTCTATAACCATCCTGGTGACATTCTTTAGGAAAACTTTCGTCAACATTCTGCTACATATATATATATATTGCTCAGTACTGAAGGCAGAGGTCAGTGCACTGAAAAGTTCAGGGGTGTGGCACAGACCACCAATTCCAACTCAGGAGGTATTCGACTCATGCACAAGGACCAGCAGAGTTAGACAAAAAAGCTAGAGGGAACAACATGAAGCCAACTGGTACCCATGCTGGAGAGCTCATTCCTACCTGGTATTTGACTACAAAGGGTTATTTTTAAAAATTGCATTTCAATAATTTGACTAAGAAGTTAAAATTAGAATTACCTAATTTAAACGTTTCCCCTGGAAGGCACTTCTTTACCCTGTATATATTTTCTTCTATTAAACAAATAATGCATGCATGTTTAGCAAAATATACAG